GAGAGAAAGAGAGAGAGAGAGAGAGAGAGAGAGAGAGAGAGAGAGAGAAAGAGAGAGAGAGCGAGAGAGAGAGAGAGAGAGAGAGAGAGAGAAAGCGAGAGAGAGAGAGAGTGAGAGACACCAATACACGGCTTTACGCGTCTATCATAAAGCGGTGCAAACCCGTGTATGATACCATGATATGTGCAGACTCGTCGCCATTTCGCGCCACGTAACGTACATAACAATATTAACAGATGCATACAACCAACCCCGTCTATCAACTGGTCACGAGAGTCACTAAAACGAAAAACCCCAAAAGTGTCCTTTATATACCTCGTACAGACTACGAATTTTAGCGCGCGTCAGACGCTCCTAGAAGCGTACAGACACAAAACTCTGAAGCGGGCTAAATGAGTCATCAGTTCTCCCACCGCTCAGTTCCCTGCTCGCCACGTCACCCAGCAGACAGCGAGGTGGGAGCGAGGTACAGCGAGCGTGCGTTTGAGCGAGCGTACGTGACCTAAATAAGGCTATGCGCATGCGCATTGCAGAACTTAGCACGCGTTAGGCACCGATTGCGTACATACACAGAGTTAGAGCGGGATAACTTGGTGCGCACCAAGATAGCCCTGCTTCGTAAGGGGGGCCAACTTGGAGCGGGCCGCGAATTTTTTTCCCCAAACGGTATAACATAGGAAGGATTTAGGCGCCTTCTGATTGGCTGGAATTTGGCAAGATGTCAGCCTCCATGACTTGTAGCCAAAATCCACAATTATCTACCAAAAACTTTCCCGAACTTTCTGTAAGTTAGGTTAAAGTAGTTTTTAGTATGTTTTCAAACAACATGGGTTTGAGTGAATTAACCCAAATATCATGCCGTTTCTTGACCGATTTGCTTTGACTGAAGAAAACCTTCAAGACAAGAGAACAAACGCCGTTTGTAAATGTTTGTTTTGGTTTATGACCGCTATAGATAAGTATAAGTTTTCTGATGTATTTTCCACGAAAGACACATATTTTACTCATTATTATAACATATAATATCACTATAATTGCAATTCTTTGTGCATGCAAATGTGTTATTTTCATCTTAATCTTAAGTTATGAGAGGGTCTAGGCTTATATAGTTATAGCTGCCGAGTTTCTGTTTATGTTCGTGCCGTGGTCCGATTAGTTTACGTTTCAGCTGACCTGAGGGTTAAACACTAGGTTACTACTACGACTACTACCGTACTAGTAATACTACTACTAGCGTCATGCAACGAGTACGAGTACGTATAGCTCTAGTACTGTCGTAGCCCTAATACTATAGTACCGTCGTAGCTCTAGCCTCTAGTAGTACTGTCGTACCGGTAGCTCTTCGCTCCTTCCTCCTGCGACGAAGCACTACGAGTGCGTGTAGATACGTACCGTCGTACGTATGTAATATTACGAGAGCCCAGACCCTCTCATAACTTAAGATTGAGATGAAAATAACACATTTGCAGAAAGAATTGCAATTATAGTGATATTATATGTTATATTAATGAGGAAAAGATGGAATTCATGGAAAATACATCAGAAAACGTACTTATCTAGCGGTCATAAACAAACATTTACAAATGGGCGTTTGTTCTCTTGTCAAAGGCAAAGCAAATCGAAGCAGCCAATCAGAAGGCGCTAAATTCTTCGCTATGTTA